ACATAAAAAGAGAATTTTCATTTTCTAACTCGTATAAGAAAGAGAAAAGATATTTGTTATTAAAGTACAAAGAGCAAAGATATTTTCTTTAGATAAACTTGTGAAATAAAATACTTAATTAACCAAAGGAAACTTTATATCTTTTTGGAATTTTGATACTAAAATACAATTTTTATTTTAAGAGTAATTTTATAGTTTCTAAAAGTTCTTAATTTAGGAGATGTGCTCTGTATCAACGAGCCTGTATTCATCTCTTGGAGATTTGGTGGAATATTATTCTCTAATACAAAATATAGAATATAAGAAAGATTAACTTTACAACATATAAACTAATTACTATTTGGTTAGTCGTTAAAGTCTATTAAATAGCCCTAATTGAGTAGTGTAAGTCTATATAGTAGAGAGAGGGTGAAAACGTACCTGAGTGAAACCAAATCTAGGTATTATACAAGAACCTGACACTATAATTTAAAAGAGAGAAATGCGAGAACATGAACCAGTTTCTATATTCAAATAAATAAAAAAACTCCAATTGATTGGAGGTTCAATTGTAAATTTAAATTTAAAAGTTAAATGAATTGTCTTATTTTTTTGATTTTCAGAGTACAAAACACTATAAAAAGAGCCTAGGTTTGGCTATTTTCATTCAAGACACTCTTATTATTTTGTAGTTGTTTTATTAAATCAATTATAGCATAACTAGCAAAAACATATTCTGTATTTCGAAAGAAGACAGTTTGTAATACTTCTCACCACCAAACTAATCTTCTAAGTGGAATATAGTCAAGTATGCCTTTTTTACTTTTAACATTATGATCAGTGAACAAAAGTTTACATCCCAAATATATCATTACAATTGTTATGGCACTTATAATAATGACCGGTTTGTATTTTAGCCAATCAACTTTAAGCAAATCTTTACGATTACAATTATTTTCTACTTTATAAGATATGTTTATATTTTCGATTATTTTTATGTAGAAAGTATCAAGATTTTGTTGGAATTTTTCCAAGTTTTTGCTATCGTATAAACCTTTTAATAAAGATTTTTCCCTATCTTCCATTATTTCTTCAGTTTCCTTTTTAATAGTTTTAAATCTATTTTTAATTTCAAAATTGCACTTTTTTCATTTTTATCAATTTCCTGTAGAATTTGAATTGTTAGCAGTTTTTCTTTAATTAAAATTTCATTAAATAATTCTTTCATTTTATGAAACTTTATCATTGAAATAATTCTACAATTCCCGTGAACTTCTTCCCAGCATACAACGCAAAGATTCTCAATTTGGTGTGTTTCGCAGTAGAGGGATGATTCTTTATCGTGTTTTGTGCATAATTCACCTGTTGTTGTTGCTGCTGGTCCGGTTAATTCCTTGAAGGAATCTGTAAAACGCCATTTTGGAAATATACTACAGTATTCTCCTTCGCCTGGTACATGACTCTTTTCTCTACATTCTGGGCAAGTGATCTGACAATTTTGAACATCTAATGCATTCAGGCATTTAAAACAAAATATATGTTGACAAGGCAACACTCTAGGATCTCTTTCCAACCACAATTCCAGACAAATAGAGCATGTTAGTTCTTCACTTTCTATCTTGTAATATTTGGTAGCCATTTTAAAATGATCTGTTGTGGTTTATAAAAAACTTATACCTTTTCTTATATACTAAACTGACAGTAATCTCAAATAATCAATGCTACTTGTCGAATCATTATTTGTATATCTAGAAACGAGTATTAACTTGAACTGTTTAATACTGTTTATTAGCATACATATGTCTTGTACTGATATATATATATATATATATATATATTATAGAGATTTTATTGTTTTTTATTTATTTTTAATCTTCAAAGTTTGACCTTTTCTTAAAAAACAACGTATTTTTAGATAATAATTTTTCTATATTTGTATAGCGGCAGTTGAAAATGACCACAAATTTGATATTTGAAGAATGGATTTTAGGTTGAAAAATGGCACGGAGGGACAAGATAACTATTAAGTTGCACTTATACCGTTCCTATCTAAAGGTTAGGATTATTCAAAAAAAGTGAGGCAAACAAAAGGGCTATGTTAGGGTTAGGGTAAAGCCATGAATCCAATAAACGAAAAAATACAATGGATAAAATTTGACCTAAATTCGATTGAAAAACCACAAAAAGGTTAGCAGATAGTTGTAATTGGAGACTACTAAAAGAACGTATGACGTAAAGAGACTATTCTTACTTTTTACAAACCTGACAAGCAAATTATATTTAAACAAGTCAAATTAGTTGATACTGTAAGTTGAACATTGTTTGATAATTGGATGAAATGATTATTTGGATAAAGGAGAGTGTCAAACAAGAGACCATAGTTGTATTCTGGAATAGCAAACAGCGTTCTTTTCCATTGTCAAAGGTGGTTGTTGATGCTGGACTGATGATTCTAAAAGAGGAAAATGGACAGAGAATAGGAGAGTACTTACATTTGAAGGTCAATTTGCTAAAAATCTTATAAAAATAGAGATAATTACGTTAAAAGAAAATTATTTATTTGAAATGAAGAACCTCTATCATTGACTAAACTTGAACATAAGAACAAAGAATATATTCATCATTTATCTTATTGCCAACAAAAATATTAAGCATTTCTAACTCATTGCCAGTATTTCCATTAAAAATGCAAACTCTATCAATTTTATAAGTCTTTTCAAGGTCAACTGCAAACCAAGAATGTTGATTGGTGTCTTTGTGAGTCTTGGCATATTCGTAATAATCCTGAAAATGGCAAAAAAATGTAAATTTTTTAAAAATAATTATAAATTGAAATTGCTTTTAAATTTACATCGCTGTTATCGAAAACAACATTGGAATCAGTTGAAAAACTAGCCAATTTATAATTATCATTGAATTCTGTTGAACACATGTTTTAATTTTCAGATAAAAGAGAAAGATTTTGCTTTTGCAAAAAGGACAAAAATGAAGAATAATAGAAATAGAATCAAGGCAAAAAAATTTCATTACTTATTGCTCTGGAAATGTTTATCATGTTTTTCAACAAATTCAAATTCAAAGTTGTCAATAGAATCGTCCGTTGAGCCCTTAGAAATTGTTCTTGATTTGCGCAAAGATCAAATGGAAGACCCTGTCTTTATTTTCAGGTGTGATAGAAGATCGATGGTATTGAAATGTCCATATGGTCAGTTAAGCCTTCCTGAAGACGCAACAGGAAAATCCTGTTGAGATTCATTGCACGAGAAAATTTACAAAGCTAACGACATTCTCCCTGATATTAAGAAAAAATTTGGGAAAGACAAACAAGCGTTTGTTGAATCAATAGTTTGGATGAGCAAACATTTACAAAAAAATGTAAATTAAATATTCCATTTCTGTCTTCAAGGCCAGAAAAGTTTTTGTATTTCATAAACGAAAACAGAATTATGAGAAAGTTAACATTTTTAATTTTTAGAAAAGATAAGTCATTTTCTTTATTCATATCGTTTCAGGAAAATTCTTTTTCCATCTTTTCTACAATATTTTTAATGAAAGTTGAACAGAACGTTTACACATTATGAGTCAGTGAATGTATGTCAGTATGTTAACGTCACTTAAAGGGGGAGCTTGACTTAGCCAAAGCTAGGATAATCCAGTTGACTTGATGTCAAATCACCGGGGTAAATTAAGTCTCTCGTGCAAAACAAAATGCAAAGATTTTCATTTATTTTATAATGCCGTAAATTTGTTGACATTTTCAACCATACCTGTTTGGTATATGTCCCCAGGATATGTTTCAAAGGGAAAAAAATATATATTTTATTCCTTATGAATAAGTCTATAAAAGTCTGAAAATTCTTGAATAATTTAAATTCAATTAAATAATTTAATTCATATACAGCAAAATTAATTCCAGAACTTTCCATAATTAAAATTTACCTTATGATTCATTCTCACTGAGTTTGTTTATGCCTACTTGATTGTAGCCTAACATTAGATTATATAAACCTATGATTATGATGATAAAAAAGATTTGTATACAACTTTCTACAGTAAATGTAAAGTTAATCAGTGTTAACCCTATTATAACACAAGACAATGGCGTCAAGTAATCAATCGTTTGTCTTTTGTAATTTGCATAAGGAAGAGAGAATGGATACCCAGGATTCATTTTATATTAGCAAAGCTAATGGATTTAGAATTTTTAAATTTTTTATAATCTTATATTGAAATCTCAAATTTATCACGTGATTCATACATTATCAATGAATTTATTGATTGTTTGATTAATTGATTAATAATTGGCATTTTCTTTAATTAAAAAGACTTGATGTTATGTCAGAAAGACAGTGACACTGATTCTCTTAGTCTTAATACTGATATGTATTTCATCTCTTTTACTCTATTTTTACAATTTTTTGTAACAGTTGAATGCTCAACACCAGTTTACAGCAGTTGTTTAGCTGCTCTTCTTTTGAATGATTACAATACTTCCACATATCAAATTCAACCTTTAACAAATGGTAATATAGCTACGGTTGTGTGCTCTTTTGTGGCTGGTGGATATGCTCAAATTGAAATTGATGCTAGTGGACAGCAAGATGTTATAATCAGGACAACATCGCTAGGCGACTTTGCTACTAAAGATATTGATATTTCATATTCAACGTTAAATTTTACTGAATTAAGAGAAATAGTTTTAAATTCTGGCAATTGTTCCCAAGACATGTACCTTAAAACCGAAGGTACTATATCCTCATTACTATCTTTTAAGTTTCTCGATGAAACAATCTATAATTTACATGGAGCTAACGACGGTTTTTGTAAATGTATAACATCTGAGGTGTGTACAAATGATAAAACTAAGAAATGCATTGATACTGGATCACATGCCAATAATCAAAATTATCTTCTTTCTGGTAAACTATCAGTTTTCTCCAAGAGACTACCGCTAGTTCGAATCACATACGGCGATTTAAACGATGCTGGTGAGTGGGCCAAACATATTGTTAAACCTTTGAAGTGCAGAAATAAAATAGATGAAAAGATAAGAGTATTATCAAAGAGTAAATGCAATCAAGATGTAAATGTTCTTATTGACAAAGATAGAGAAACTTGCATTGAAATTGCCTACAAATCGTATATGCAAATTCAATTTCCTTACTTTCAGAATATTAATATAATATCATCTTTTAATAATACTTTATCAGTAACAATTTATTCAAAACTACTCAATCAACACGGAAAAGTTTTATTATGTAAAAAAGGGAGTTATTTAAATTTTTATTGCCAGCAAAGATCAAACGAGATATTTATTGATATTTTTCACAATAATCTCTTGAATAGCTCAGTGAAACTTTGCGAAATTGAAACATATTTATTACATAAGTGATATGAGAGAAACATTTTGAGTTGTCTTTATTAATATTGCTGTTACTTTCTGTCTAAGTTATATCAATACACACTATTCTTTTACTCTTCCAGAATATCTTTGTTAAAAAATATTACCTAACAACAGGCCTATAGCCTATTCTATAAATTAAATAGGTCTTACTGAAAACAATAGGCCTAATTATTAACTAACTCAAAGAAAAAAAATATTAGAAAGAAATTTTTTGAATATTTTAATACAGAAATTATTTAAAAATAATTCAGTTAAATATTCAGTAAATTTCTTGCTTTTGCGGTCACTTATCATTGATTTTTTTAATAGTTTATATTATGTAAAAAAGAGAGATTTACTTCAAAAACTTCTAACTCTGCAATCTTGTTTACAAGCTTTTTTATCGCTTGTATGACGGAATTGTCCGAAATTCTGTCTAAAATTATATTTAAAGTACTCGTTGCTTTCTCGCACTGTTCTGATACATTCACTCTCTTTTGTACCTTGCTTATTGGGTGCTTGACTGTGCTCATTCGTGGTACAAGATTCGCGCCACGTTCGCGCCACATCGTTATTTACCCCGGTGATGTGACGTCAAGTCAACTCGACTATCCTAGCTTTGGCTAAGTCAAGCTCCCCCTTTAAGGGACGCTAGCATACCGACATAAATTCACTGACTCATGCTAGCACACAATGTGTAAACGATCAGTTAACAGTATAATAGTGTTATAATTTAAACACAATAATTAAGCCCATTATTTTCGGTATGATCTATTTAATGTATAGAATAGGCTATAGGCCTATTGTTGGGTAATATTTAATATTAAAATTTATTAAAGAAAAATGTAAATTAGCACGATTATGTAATAATCTTTTACATATTTGTTTGGTGTGTTTTACTCAAGATATTTTTTGACAAAAAAAATAGGTCTGCTCAGTTGTATAGCCGGATGCTCACCTTATATTTTCTACTAGATTGAAAAGTATAAAACACATGGGATTGACAGAAGACCTTGATTCCTGCCAAACTTTGAGGTTGAAGTTTAGTTTGAAATTGGGCTTCGAAAAATAAATAAACTGTTATTCTATTGTTAGGTGGCCCTCAACTAAGCGTAAATTAGAGTAGGTAAGGAAGTATATTACTAATATTTAAGCTATTTTCTCCTTCATCAAACTGGTATAGCCTTTTAAAATTGCATTGTTTTAACTCAATCAATTTTCCTGATAATTGCAGTACTATCTTTTACATTGACACTGATTACTCTGGCTATGATCGTTATTTATTGCCTATTTTCTATTCATTTTAGTCCATTTACCTATTACTTTTTGAGATATTAGTCCAGCGATGGCTTATGAAACATAGCGGCCATTTTACCATTAAGAATTGACGCTTAATGAATTTTTCTTAACATTTTACATGTTTATGTATATTTAGAAAGGCCAGGGGAAGAGAAAGAATGCCTAAATTTCTAAATACGTAAAGGAGAGTTTCTTCTTTTGCATCTGAACATCTCTCCAAGTTGTTTCTGTCTTTCAACGAGTTAAGATTAATTATGGAATTATAGGATGTATAAATTTGTAATAGAGTAACTATGTCCACTTAATTATTCTATATAAAACTATTTGCTATTTAATATGCCAATTATTACCAAAACTAATTACAAGTGTTTATATCAATGTCAAGGTCACAAGGCAATTATATGGGAAAAAATACCATATATATATTTATATATACATATTCAAAAGAAAAAACAATTATCTCTGAAAAGCTTCAAGTACAGAAAGTACTAATTAGTGAAAACTTTTCAATAAAGAATGCGCAATTAAGTAATTTAATACAGTAATAAAACGAAATCAGTTAATTACTATTTAATTTTAAAAAGAATGAATTTGCAATAATAAAGATATTTTTCTTGTATTTTTAAAAAATAAACCTAAACGAAAACTATGAATTTTTTTCAAAAAATTTCATCAATTTGTCTATATTGGTTTCTTATAAAAGAAACAGAAGAAATTACTATTCCTGGTAAATTGTATCTTGATATTATAAATGAAACATATACATATAGTTTTGGAAAAATTGCCTTTTTATCTGCAAATGATAAACAAAAATATTTTATCTCCATTTCAAACTGTCCAGATCATTTGAAAGTTTCACTTTTAGAATTATGTCATCAATGGAATTATGATGATTTACATATTGTACAAGAAGATTGTCAAGTGTCGAATGGTATTTTAATACTACTCAAAATATATTAATATAATACTTTAAATACAAAAATTGTTACCATAGCAACAAGGCTACCACGTCTAGAGAGTCATAAACCATGCTGTTCGTTGTAAATGTTTGATAATGTTGAAATAATTAAATTGTTAATTAAATATTATCTTTTTAGTCTAGATTCTAAGAAAATATCTGAAGGAATAACTTGTTTGAAATGTTTCAAAAAGAAATGTAAAGCCTATTCGTGTAATATTTAAAGAATTAATGTCAAAACATCTTTCCACTTTAGATATATTTACAATAGAAAATATTGAGAATGAAGTCTATTATCCATATTTGAGAAATAATAAATTTGTTCACGAGATTTATTGTTCTAAAAATGACACACTCAAAATTTGTGCAGCATCTGAATTTTTTTTAAATTCTGGAATTTTAAGGTCAAATATAAAAGTCATCTCTTCTCCTAGATTATATTATTATAGAGATCAATTTTCACTCAAATCAGTTGGGAATTTGTTTAAATGTCAATGTAATTTTGAACAGATAAAAGGTTTATACATCATAGGATAACCCTATAAGAATAGTGGACACTTTTTTAATCATTTTGCTTGTCATTTGTTGTTTAACTAAGCTTTTCTTCTTCAGATTTAAAAATTTTTCCTCCATCGAAATATTTCAAAGAAAAATTTACCTACAAACTATTTAGAAATTATTTTTCACCACTACTCTATTCAAAAACTCATGGCTTCTTGCCATTAGCAATATCAAGTCAAGAGGTATTTTCAACTGGTAAATTTATATGCAAACTCTTCGGGAAAACACTCAAAACTCAGGCCTATAGAAAATTAAGCCAGAATATTGTTATTTATGTTTTGTTTGATTTTTTCTAAATAATCAAAAAAAATTCTTGCCTTTCGTGTAGATTGTAGGGAATTGTAGGAAACATTTCTATTTCAAGAAATATGGAATTAACTTTTACAGTTTTACAAACTGTTCCAGTAAAGATGGGTCATTTCTTTCTGGATGTAGATATGAAGGATGGAACCGTAAAGCATTTATACTCTTTGTTGCTTGTGAAGATTTAGTAAATATTCCAGGTGAAGAAAACTAATACAAAATTTAAAATAAAAAAAATCAATTATTGAATGTTCAAATATTTATTTTTAGATTTTGAATTTCGGTTGCTTTCTTACCCAAACCGTGGTCTTTATAAAAATCAATCAAAAAATATAAATGATATAATGGGAATGATTCAATATTCAGTTGAAAACATATTTTACTATTTCCCAATTAATGACATAACACATCTTTCAGCAATTACATTCTGTCGCTATTTTGGATTTAAATCTGGAACATTGGTGTTTAATAAAAATATATTTTATCATCTAGTTTCAACAAATTCCAATGAATTACAATTTCATTTTCCATTTTTAAAAGAAAAGTGTATAGGCTCAATTCAGGATATAAAAACATGTCTAAAAACATATCATAATGATATTTTTATAACTGACTGGGTATCAACTAGGTTTGAACTTTTAGAGGATGGATATATACATGACGCTTTATCAATTGATATGAATCCAATATTTCTTAAATGCACAAATTCGGTTGAATATAGTTTAGTTTTCCAACAAGTTTTACAAAAAAGAATATTTCAAGGATGCGACAGAAAACGTCCCCAGATGCTGGCTTTTTGATTACCCCTAACCCTTAGATTGAATCCTCCTAACTATAAATCAATTACAACTTTACTCCTCTTAACCATTTTGCAATCCAAAATGTTACTTTCAAATATCTGACTTGTGGACATTTTCTGTCGGCCCCATGTTTAACAAATCAATGAATCTGAAATATTCAACTCTCTCTTTCCAGATTGTAGAAATCATCATTTCAATGTTCATGGAAATTGTTATTTTACTGTTGAAGGAAATATGACCTTCACCTTTGCAGAGGCAAATGAATATTGTTTAAAAAATAATTTTTACCTATTAGACACGGCATTTTTATCAACATTCCAATTGTTTAATTATTTAATACAAAATAATATGTATAAAAAGAAACAAGCTCCAACAAGTGAAAAAAATAATATTTCCCTTTTAAACATTTAAATTTAAAATTTAAAATTCTTTTGTCTTTGTGAGTAGTGTCAGCCAACATAATTTCAAAACTGAATGTAAATGAAAAAGTATCCTCTTCTGGTTATAAATATCCAATTGAGTATTTAGGCCATAAAGTTTCTGAAATACCAATCAAATTTAAAACCAGTTGTTTTGATGGATTATCCTCTATTATAAAGTTTACTACAAATTGCACTGTAATTAGTAGAAAAGAAAATTTTGTCCAAATTGAAAATTCAAACTGTTTTTATTATTTTTCAAGTTTTATTTGCCAAAGACAATCTTGTATTATTTTTGTTTTCAACAATAAAACGACCTTGACCGTTTTAAACATTTTCTTTTAGATATAGTTAAGGAAAGAAGTTTAATTAGGCCTACAATACCTTCATCAACATCATCACAGCAATTGTTTCTATGCTTTAGAGATAATTTCTTTATTAATATACAATTTATTTGCGATGGAATTTTTCATTGTTTTTCCGGTGAAGACGAAGAAAATTGTTTGGCAATTTACACTTTCACCTGTTCGAATACCATTACGATTCCTTATCAGTATGTTTGTAATCATAAAAATGATTGTTTCGACGGTAGCGACGAAACGTTTTGCGGTAAAGTAGGCCTATATATAATAATTTTAAAGAATAATACAAAAACACCTCTCAGACTGGTATGATTGTTCAACTATTAAAAGGTTTAAGAAAACATTATACTTTATAAAAAAGAAAACAATCCTTCACCTAATTTTAGATGTTTGAATATGGAATGTATTAATGACAAAGATATTTGTAATGCAGAGCCGAATTGTATAGATTTCTCTGATGAACAATGTAGACAAGTGCTTTCCGAAGATTTAGGTAAATTTGTGTTTGTGTTTTTTTTTTTAAATAAAACTTTCAAGAATTATCTTTATAAAAACAGGTCTATGCCAAAAAGGACTTCACCATTGTGACAATTCAAAATGTTTATCAGAAGCTGAAATATGTAATAAATATGTTAAATGTGAAGATTTTAGTGATGAAAGCCAAGATAATTGCATCGATCTGGGTTAGTAATTTCTTAAAGAATATGAAATAAATATTGCTCAAGTTAAAAGATAAAATTGATGTAGCTTGTCAAAAATTTGAAAATTTTTGTTATTTACATTATAATATTCTAAATGGTATAACATTGACAAGATCTAATTTTATACAAACAAATTGGAATTGTGTTGATACTAAATGCAAAAATGGAACATATTCATGTTCTGAAGATCATTACTGCATACCAATGAGTTTGGTGTGTGATGGTATAAGTCATTGTAGGAATGGAGATGATGAAATTCATTGTGGTAGTTGTTTAAATTTAACACAAAATAAAACCTTCTTGTAAAAACTAAACACAAACGCACATAACAGACCAGTTTATACTACCCGGATATTTTAAATGTGAAAAATTTAACATTTATATCCCAACTAATAAAATTTGTGATAAAATTGTTGACTGTAAAGATGGAAGTGATGAATTGGGTTGTACAATTGTACAGTTCAACATTAATTGCCAACTACAAATGACAAATAGAACTATTTATTGCTATGGTAATAAGGCCAAGGTCATGAAGTTTATTAATCATATTCCAAGCTTATTTTATAAACAATTGACTCTCCATTCATTAACAATCGAGTTTAATTCAAATTTTAAGAGTATTCTTAAACTTTCTATAAATAACTCTGACCTAATTAATTGCCAAATTAATCATAAATTTCCGAATTTAATTAGTTTCACAGGAGCAAATATGAATTTTAAATATTTCAATTATTTCAATTACGGAAAAGAAATGCTAATGCTTCAAAACTTTTCATTAGTAAATGTTTATTCAAAAGACATCAGTAAAGGATCATTTAAACAATTCCCCAATGTAACTTTAATACTACTCAACAATGTTACATTAAATTTCATAACAAGAAATCATTTTGAAAAAAATTTGAATTTGAAAACATTAATTATAATTAATTGTTTTATTTCAAAGATTGATGAAACAAGTTTTAAAAATATTCAAAAAGTTTTAAAACTATATTTAAATAATTCAAAAATAATTGGAAATCAATTAAATACTTTTCAATATTTCAAGTCAATTCAAAAAGTTTCAAGTAAATATTTTATGATTTGTTGTTATTTTTGGAAGAATTTTGGATCAAATGTTGAATGTCATCCTTCATCTGCATTGTTTACATCTTGTTCAGATTTACTCATTTCAATTAGTCTGAGAGTAACCAATTGGTTAATTAATGTTTTTGGTGTAATTGGCAATTTAACATCGATTATTTTTTGTCTTGTTAAATTTAAGAGAAAATCGCATTTCTTCTCGATTTCTCTTCCAATTAGCGATATAACGATTAATATTGCGTTCATTATTCTAGCAATTAAAGATATCGAATATAGAGGTGATTACCTCTTTTTTGATCCTGTTTGGAGGAAATCACTTCAATGCAATGTTATTGGCTTATTAGTCTCCTATTCAATTACTCAATCTTCATTTATTATTCTTATAATATCAGTTGAAAGATATCTTGTCATAAAATATCCATTCAAAAATCATTTTGGAACATTTTCTATAGTTTTCGCCATCATTATAACATTCCACCTAATATCACTCTTTCTCTCCATTTTTCCATATGGATTTTATACTGTAAGCAACAATGTTTTCCTTCAAAATATTTAAAACATTTTCCCTCTTTAGAATTATTATTCAAACTTTCCAATTTGTTTAAACTTTTTTATAAGAAGTATTAAAGTTGATGGATGGATATTTTCATTTTTTGTTCAAAGCTGCCTTCAACTTTTAGTTTCCATGGCAATTTGTGTTATTTACGGAAAATTATTGTTCCATTTGTGGAATGGTAATGGAAAGTTTAGACATAGTAAAAAAATCTACTCTTCTGTAATGAATAGAGTTATACTAATATCAATGTCAAATGTATTAGTATGGTTCCCTATCTCGCTTTTAGGTAATGTATAGTATTTTTCTGACATGTGCCTTCTTCTGAGTTTTAAATGTTTGAAGGATTCCTTTCAATTCTAATAAAAATCCACATTTCAAATGATGCCTATATATGGGTTATAACCATGCTTTTACCATTAAACTCACTACTTAATCCATTCTGGTATACATCTTCAGAAGTTGAAGAACAATTTTTAAAGCGGAGGTAAGAATTTTAAAAATTTTACTCAAAGAGCGGAAAAACTATAATTATGTTTTTATTTAAAGGAAAAAAAGACAAAGACTTCTTGAAAATGATGTTGCAAATACGTGTATTTAAAAAACATTACTTTTGAAAAATTTGAAATTTAATCAGGGTTACATTCAAACCTTTTTTTTATTATCCAGATTTAGAATTTTGCAAAAATGCATTTTCAAAAAATATTTATATAGGAAATTCAACAGAAATAGAAATTACTAATTTAACAGATTTTAATGAAAGGATGAATCTGAAAGAAATATATCATACAATATTTTGCTTATTTACCGGAATTCAATTTTGCCATCAATACTCATTTTGTTTAAATGATGGAATTGATGAGAAAAATATTATTGTTTTAAATGGATGCTATTTCATTTCATTCAGCCATTCAACTACATTTTCAACTATTCAATCTCAAAAGGATATTTTAAAGGCAATTGCAATTCTAAGAAGATTATTGAAAAAAACAACTGTAAATGCTGTGCGTTTGTTTCTTCTTTAGCATTGATCTGTATTAATTTATCCCTTAGCAATGCCTATTATTTTATGCTTTTGTTGAGACAGTTTTTGTTTAATACATTATCTATAAAGGTCTTTTTTAAAGTTTATAAAGAAACTTCAATATCTGTTGACATTGATCTGATAACTTGGTATTCTATTGCTTATCTTCTTTAAGATTTCAGCATATCAATGAAAAAAGGGATTTAAAACAGAATTCGTTGGAACAATTGAAGAAGATGGTGAACATAACTCAAGAGATTCTACTTGAACAACGTGACCACAAGTCACCCACCCTCACCCCTGGATGTGGTAGAAAACAGCCATAAATCTATGGTTTTACCCTAACCCTAACCCAGCCCTTGTTTTTGCCTAAGCTTTTTGAATACCCCTAACCCTTAGATGGGACCCTCCTAAGAACATATCAACAGTTATCTTATTCCTCCTAACCATTTCCCAGGCTGAAATCTAACTTTCAAATATTTCATTTATGGCCGTTTTCCACCGGTCCCCTCACCCCTTCTCTTTCGCACACATCCACACTGACACTCACTAACACACAACATAGCAGATACTTTACCAATTCAAGCTTCTCTTTCATGTTACAAGCTGTATTAATATGTATTAAAGTTACTATTATTGTCAGTAAGAAAGAGTTTTATTTTATTTTTAAGACTAGACAAAATGACCATTGTAGCTGTAGATAAACCAGTTTTCTAACAATTTAAAATAAAACAAATTTCAAACAGCTACTGTTTACGAAGAGAGAGATTGATAAGTTGTTGAATAGAAACTTGAAAATATTTAACAATTTCGATATATAAATAACTGTAGGTTTAAGATATTTCAGTCTTTTATAACTAGTAATGTTATATTGTCAAAAGAAAGCTGTAAACTCAAATTCAAACTATCAAAACTAGTTCTACTTGCACATTTATATTATACAACTGTCCTTATTTTTTAATTAGACTCCAAACTATTATAAGATAGTAAAAAAAGCACTTAAAATCGCTTAAGAAACATATTTATTCACCTTTGGCCAAGTTATAGGTTAACTTGGACTTTTATTGTTCAATTTTACCAAAGATAAACATAAACTAGACAATTCACCAAATGTAAATGGATGATTGGATGTCATAAACTCACCAATCACCTATCTCTATCTCTATAACCCTATCCTTAATTTTTAGTAATAACACATTGGACTTGAGAGAGTAAGATGTCCAATACAAGTAGAGACTATCTACAATTTTGAACTTTCCTAATTTTTTTAATAATGTAAATAGACCTAGTCCCACTTTTAATTCATGGTTCCTAACCCTTAGTTTGGACCCACCTAATTGCAAATTAATTGCTGGAATATTTTTCCTAAGCCTTTCCCAACCCAAAATCTCGCCCCAAAATAACTTCAAAATGGCCGTTTTCAACAGCCGCCTTTTAATTCTACCACTCAAAACGTAAATAGCATTACTATTAGTGTTAATAACAATAGAAAAATATATTTCCTGTTCTTTGATATATCTTTTTCTTGATATGAAATTTTTATTGTATCATTTATACGTTGAATAAATGACCTGTTTTCAATTTTACCCTATACAGTATGGCTTAATCTATTGAAAAGAAAAACTTGTATATAAAGGAAAATGTTATTTTCTAGTTCTCATTTACAAAAATGAAACTTTTGCTAATCACTGTCTTTGTTGCTCTCTTAACTACACAAATTTTGGCTGGTCCATTAGCTTCTTCTCTTCTAAACTATTTGGAAGAAAGAGACGAAAAATATCAATTATTGGAAACCCTTTTACAAGTAATAGAATATTTTTTCGCATTTTTTAAAATTATTTCCTAAATTCTACTTTCAGAGAGACAACAATGAAAATTTTGGTTATGATGGATATTTAAAGCAAATTAAGGTTTAAAAATAGTTTGTTTTTTTAATTATTTTTTATACTTTAAATCTATTAAATTGCAGAGAGGACTCGTTGCAAAATACAAGAGGAAATGTGGGGCTTGCAAAAATGAAAATACTGGCATTGAATGCACAAGAATTCAAGCATATTGTAAAAGTAAATTTAAGATTGAATTTTAAAAAACAAGCAAAAAGTTTTTTCTTTGTGTTATTCCTTTATTTTTCTTTTACGTGACGAAATAAAGTTTTAAGTCGAGAAATTGTTGAGTTTATATCCTTTCGAGGTTTTTAATAACTAGGCCTAAAAATCGATAGTGTTCAATAGTTAAAAAAAATTACTAAACATTTTCTTTACGTAAACAAATCTTCAATCATTTAAGTATGAAATGTTTAAATGGTTTATGAAAAAAGAGACCTAGACATTTTGGAAAGTTTAACGTCTCTTTTTATAAAAAATAAATACACCAACAAAATAGTATAAAGTAACCTAAACTTATATTAATTTGTATTATCAGCATCCTACAAAGCTATTGGGTATTGGAATTGTGCTAAAAAAAACTTTTCTATATACTTTTCAACATTTATGATATTTCAATGCAGATTCAAGAAAAGGGTTTTTTTTATCTTAGGCCTAAGGATAGTCCGTAGGGATAGGTAAATAAACAGAACGTTATATGCTAATGTTCTGTTCACATTACATGTTATGAGTGAATGTGAGTCAGTATGTGACCACATGTTTATAAAAGAGAAATTGACTTTAATTGGTGTTTTTTAATTGTAAATCAATCTATGCAAATTAAAAAATATGTTGAAAAAGTGCTCTAAACTGGAAGTAATCAACTTAAGGGAGAACCTGAAAATGGGAAGTACATTTTTAGAGATTTGCGACTCATTCATTTATCAAACACTCTAAAAGAAATTGATTTTAGTTCATGTAATCTAAGTGAAAATCAAGGTAATGAACTTGTTCATTCATTAAATTGATTTTACTTTCTGTCATCTTACTGAAAATCAGTGTAATCATATTTAGAATATACTGGGAAATCATCCAAAACTTGGATATGAGTTCATTCAAAGGTAGCTAAACTTAGGTTTTGGTTACTATTTACACATTATCAAATAAATTGCCATTTGATGTTAATGTCTAGATGATCAACAAGAAGATAACTGTTCCTCTTTGTATCTTCTTTCTATTTTAAGGAAGTTTTTTAAAAAGAAATTTAAATAGTTATTTAATTTTTTTACCATTAAAAATACAGTTCCAAGAAATCTAAATTTGAAATCATGGCAGAATTTAAAAGCTTGAACAATTTGTCTGATGGATACGTAGCATATAAGATTTTCAAATTCAATATGATTGAATATTAGAGGCGAACCCCAAAGTATATAAATCCTCACTGTTCCATTCCATTGCCGTATCTCAAACTAATCATTGAGGAAGATCACAGGGAACAGCCTTCAATGGAATAAGCCACTCTCCTGCTGCATGCTAGTTTGGCAATTTGGCAACCTGCTGTTATGAACTATCTACTCTGCTATTGATCTTTGGTTCTATTGCTTGTTCATTGTAATGTTACACTCGTTAAATTGGATTCTGACCATGCAAAGTCATTTAGACAAGGTTAAGAAAGAAAAAGAAAAATATAAAAATGGCTGTTGTACCGCTATTAATACTTTAAAGAAAATAAACTGTCCATCAGAAGTTCCAGGAAATTACAAAAAAAGAATGGCTAGAACAGTGAAATGGTGTGATTGGAAAGATCAATGTAATTCTAAAAGCTGCTAGATATTGGTGTGATTAAAATAAATCGACAATATTAGTATATCTAGGGAACGCCCCCTATTAAAAACACCCACTAACCTATTAAAAAAGTAAATAAAAATTCTTGTTTTTTGTATATATAGAGGAAATAGTGTATATTAATAAACTCAGAAGCCTTTATTTTAGAAGAACAGTTAATGTACTGGCAGAAAGTATTTTGTCTAGTATCTTTCTCAGACAATAGGATTGGTTGAAGCTATACTGTATATAAAATCCATAAGAACATTAATTTGCTTGTTCACAAAATTCTCCTTGAATATGTTGACATGCTTAGACAGTCATATTGATAGTATAACTAAGAGCATAACTGTATATCAAAATATACAGATACATTGATTCTAAGAGGATACGGATTTGGAACAATTGATTCTTGTTTACTTAAAGTAAATAACAACTGACAAGCTGGGGAAATGCATTTCCTTTTATACATTTACCAAAGCTTGGGTTCACATTGGTTGAGGTAGGTATAAAACTCGTTTCTTGTATAGTCAATTGAATGGGCAACAGATTTAAAATTGTTCAGTAAATATTTTCTTAACACTTTGCAACATTTTTGTTATCATTCTTGCATTTTTTAATGGAATTCCTGACTTATTCAAATAAATAACTTTCAAATGAAAAGCATTAAAAAATGTCTCTTTCTCAATTCTTTCAATAAAGTTATGAGTAATGTATAAATATTTTAAATTTTTCAAAGTTTTCATTTCATTAAATGAGATTGTTTGTAGTTTTGAACTTGAAATATCTAGTTTAATTAAATTCAAAAATTTAAATAATTTAAAAACTTCTTTTTAAAAGTTTCTTTCAATGTTTAAAACAGTTATGAAAATTGATGGTATATGAAAGACATCACTTCTGGTTAAATATATTCTTTAAAGCCATAATTAGTTGATATGATCCTATCAAGTATCATTATTAATTGATCATTGTTTATATAATTTAAATTCCATATAACTGTATTACTACTATTTCCAAGTAGGGTTTTATCAATATTTAGGATATTTTGTTCTCTATTTGAACATTAGTTTATATTTTATAGTGTTTTTGTTTTTTTTAAAACAGACCTTTTATTTCAAGGTAACTGCATAACAAGGATTTGGAAATGTTCTTTGATTTTAGATAAATTAATGTCCTTCTATTATTAATTTCAATAAAAAAAACTCTATTTGAAATAATTGCAAGTGAGAAATTTACAAAAAAATTACTCTTTATATATATTGCAGTATTTACGTGTAGAGTTACTATGGTAACAAGTTAAGATTCATTTTCCATTTGAGTAAATTTGAGTATTTCCATTGTCTGTTGTTTTTGTAAATATATTATTATCAAAATTACACTCCAAAAATAAGCCCAAATTTAAAAGCAAGTGAAATTTTCCATTCAAATATATAATTCTATTCTAGATCTTTCTCTCTCTCTCTCTCTTGCCCATAACAAAAGTATTTTGGATGTGGTAGAAAACGGCCATAAATCTATGGTTTCACCCTAACCCTAACCCAGCCCTTGTTTTTGCCTAACCTTTTTGAATACCCCTAACCCTTAGATGGGACCCTCCTAAGAACATATCAACAGTTATCTTATTCCTCCTAACCATTTCCCAGGCTGAAACCTAACTTTCAAATATTTCATTTATGGCCGTTTACGACCAGCCCCAAGTATTTTAAATTATATATTATTCCTGACATTTTGTCTAGCTTTTCATACTTAAAATACCATAAAAATAATTTAATACTTGTCATTACATTTTGTCACATGACACAATTAAACTTAATTTTTGACAGGTGTGGTAAATAATGAAACTCTGTTTTTGTGAAAAAGAAAAAGAGTAGAGAGGATATTTAACTAAAAAGAGACTAATTATTTTATAATTGTTTGGTGATTTTTTAAGAATTTTTAATGTGGATGCAATTTTAACTATAATTGAATAGAATTACATAATTCTATTCTAGTCAAGCAGTTTAGCTATTTGTAATACAATTGATGGATGAATCACTCAACCAAATAGTTTGTTGTCTTGTTAAATAACACTGAAAGGTAAATGAACTTTATGCCTAGGAAATCGCTTTTACCCACGCTAACCTCTAAATCAAGTTATAACAAAGAAGATAAAATTGTTAATCTATCACAAATTTTTCTACATTTTTAAAGCCAATCATGAAAATATTCAGAAAGCAAAACAATTTTATTTTATATTTTTGCAATAAATTATTTATCACTAAGTTTGTATCAAAATTGAACTATCTTTCTCTGTCTGATTTTAGTTTTGACAACTGAATAATGGCTGAGAGAGAAAAATGATGCCTTTTAAATTGCACATTGAAAGTTTAGATAAATAAAGGAATCTTTTGGAAAACTAGTTGTTATAGACTGAAAATGGTAGCATTCTTGATTCTGATTCTTCTCCACCGATTTTCTTCTCATTTCTCTCTCAATTCGAAAAGCTATTGTGAAAATTTAAACTATTTTAAATGTTTACAAACATTCCTTTCCTGTTTCAAGAAATCTTCAATCTGTCTACTTTCTTCTTCATTAAAATAAATGATCTTCAAATGAAGAGACTTTAAAGGCTCATCAATTGTAAAGAAAACCTTTACAAGTTAACTTCAAAAATTTATATTTTACTTTTTTAAATTTTTGAGCATTTCTTGTGTTATGTTTAAATGTTTTCATATTGAATCTGATTGAATGTTTTGTTGTTGTTATTATTGTTATTTTATCAAATGAATAATGAAATGATTTAGAGAAAAGACTGGTGACAACTTACTACATCCATAAAGTTCAATATTAACAGCTCCATAATAACCCGATTTGGGGTAAATTCGAAAATATTTTGTTGTTATTTTATGTGGAAAGTAAATGCGTTTTGTAGTGTTGTATTCACTTGGAGCCGCACCATCAAAAGTCTTTAAATTTCAAAAAGAAAAAAAAAATATTATTTTTTATAAAAGAATACAAACAATATGTCTCACATAAATATTATTCTGGTCATCAGTTTTTATGTAGACTAATGAATTTATATCAAATCCATAACGAATTTGAAATGACCTGGTATAGTAACCACTTACTACATTACTGGGTGAGATCCAGTATGCTCCTAACAAATCCAATGCATACAAACTGTATAGTTGACCTATTTAGAAAAGTGGAAAACTAAGAGTAAAATTTAATGAACTTAGAAAATTATGTTTATTTACCTAAATCAATTTGTAAATAACCATTTTGATAATCAGCAGTGAACCAAGTCTTTGGTGAAATTTTTTCTATTCTTGCATGATGTCCAAGCTTTCCACCATGGGCTTTATACCCAAAAAATAATGAGTTGGGAAATTTATTTTCATCATAGAGTCCTATCAATGTTGTGTTACAATAATCCAAAAGATAAGATTTGGGAATTAAACTACCAAGTAGAAAAAGAATTAGAAATTTTATATTCATACT